TTCGGCAATTTGGTTAATTCGGTTTTAATTCGGCAATTCGGTTTTAATACGACAATTCGGTTTTAATTCGGCAATTCAGTTTTAATTCGGCAATTCGGTTTTAATTCGTCAATTCGGTTTTGAAGCTAAATATTTCGGTTTTTTAAAAATAATTTCGGCAACCATCTTTATTTCGACATAACTTTAAATTTCGACATAACTTTGAATTTCGGCATTTCGACAATTAAATTTTATTTGTCGAAATAGTATTTAATAATTTCGGCTTGACAGGTTGCCGAAATTCCTGAATTTCGGCAAGCATCCTTAGTGGGAATGACATAGAAATTCGTAGAACATGCGTAATTACGTAAGTGTATTATATATGATAATCATTATTTTTTTGCTCGGAAATACCTCTAACATTACACATGCTTTTACGATAAGGGCGAGTGAAAACGAACCTCGAAAAGGCAATAAGTGTAAATAGCCCGTTGATTCTTATCAGCACCGTTACCAGAAAATGTTAGTTATGTGACTTTAGAATCTCCGCAATTCTGGATCGTTGTTGTGTTAACCGATTTCGTTGCGATCGTCAGGCTAAAGGGTCCCATTCATGTGTCTATGACTCATTGCTCCGCATATTCACAGGCCTTGGCATTTAGTTACATATAACAATGCTTTTTATGGAGGTTGAGGAGCGTAGCTCTTTTCCTAGAAAATCGTAACAAGTTCAGAGATCTCTCTATTTCTGGTATTTATATGATTTCAATATTCTATAAATTGGAGATTTGCTTGATAAAGTTTGGATCATTCTAGTAAGTTTCGAAATAAATAAAGCATATAAAGATAAGCTGAATTTATCTTACATTGTATAGTTAACAACATTACTCAGGCGAAGTTGTTTCTTCTGAAAATTTCTTATATTCTCACATTTTTTACTTAAGGTATGTGTTATGAATAACAAAGTTTGTAAGAGAAAACTCTACTCACGATTGACCTATGAAATAAGATTTTGGTGAAATGGCAGAAATTGTTAGTCTTAACTTTCAAATCGATGAAAACAATAATGAAAATGAAGTTTTTACAATTGAAATTTCCAACGACAAAAAGGTTGACGCTCTTAAACCTATCATAAAAAACGGTTGGCGCCTTTATTTGATACCATTCCTTCTACTCAAATCAAACTTAGTTTAACCCCAAATGGTGGGTCTATGAAACCAACGGTTAGAATTTCTAAATTTTTTAATGGGAATTCTGATGAAAATAAAATTCATGTTTATGTAACCCCTCCCAATAACTAGATTTTTTTATCTACATTTGCACCATGTCATAGCAATGTATTTTACAATTTTATTTTTTGTATCTGCCTTAATACGGGCAAGTTTTTCGTAGAGGCCAGCCTCATTGCTATGCAATAAAATAAAATATTTAGCCCGTAATCGTACTATGATCTCGTATTTATTGATATATTTACATTATCACTATATACCATCAAATCTAGCTATTGATATATTTACACAAAAATCATGATAATTGTTGATATATTTATTGCTATATAAGAATCAAACTATACCCCATCGGGTAATGGATCCTCGGCCTTCAATTCGCGACGTGCTCGCCTTAGATCTAAGAAAAATATCCCATTATTAATCTATTTTTTAACCCACATAGTTAATAACAGAATGACTTACCGATATGTCCTCTTCTACAATCGGTGAACGATGGTGGGATTCGAACCTGATTGGCTTTCGGCTTGTCGAGTCTAATCTGATTATTTAAATTCCATGCATCATTTAGGTCTTGCCGAGGAATCATAGGAACAATCGACCCGCGAGCATCTCTTTCTATCCCATCCCTGAGATCATTGTAAACAGGCGAGAAATCCCGCTGATGATGAAAGAATAAACTATGTACGAAATATACGACACTGTGACGAATCCCTCTTGTGATTGAAAGATTGCCATGTAACAAGAGACGTGAAGAAAATGCCACGACCTGCTCCGGCTTCAATGAAATCACAATCTGGAGTTGCGGAAAGCAAAGCTCACCACCCTCGAAGTTCCCTAATGCTACCAGAAAACAGAGAGAGTTTGGTTCGTCGTGATCGTCCCAATGGTAATCACTGATCGTGTTAAAATTAATTGCAATCATTGAGCCATGCAGTACTTAAACCGCTCTTTAGTATACTGCGATGTAATAACTCTTCACCGACCAGCCTCTCCCAATCTGTTAAAAATTTACGATATTTTCTAGGGTCTTCTTTTCTTTCTATTCCATCACGATAGAAGCATATATCTCTTTTCAAATTTCCACGAAAACATCCCATGGCCCACCTATTTTTCTCAGCCTCAGTAATGACCAAAAATTTCTCAGGATCTATTCCATGTTCGATGGTATATGACGTAAGCCAGCCTCTGGTTGATAAAGATGGGTTTTGTTTGGTACACTTTTCTGAGTTTCTGGTAAGCTCTGGATAGCAATTATAACTTTCTTTTGATCGATACGAAAAGGGCAATTAAGAAAATAGTGGTCATTTTTACCTAGACAGCTCCAATCACCCCATATACCTAAACGTGTATGAACTTTATTGCATATCGGACATTTAGCTTCTAAATCAGTATATTTAAATACATCCCGATGTCATGCATTCGATTCAAGAAAGGAAATCGTTTCTGTACTGCTTCAATAATCACATCTTTCTCTTCTGGAAATTTAGAAATCTTAATAATAAAGTCTTGCAAAGAATGATTATCAGCATTTTTGATTTGTTTAGATTCGGAAGTTTCAGAGTTTATCCAGGGATCAAGCCCAGTTTTTTTCTTATATATTTTATATAACTTGGAACGAAGTTTATCAGATATAGTGGTTGGCAAATCAGTTAATTCGGAATACCAATCCAGATATTCGGGGGTTAGTACCTCATCAGACTTGGCTTGTATATCCATGTTATCATTTATATAATCTCAAAGCAATTTAATTTCTCGCATTGAGTATTACGTACTAAGAAATATTATTCATTTTATTTTTATTGCGTACTAATGAGTTATAAAGCATAACAAAATGATAGGACTGCTTCGCATTTAAAGTTTATATAGTAATTTGAATTTCGCGCTGTTCACATTTAATATAGTATGATTCAATTTCATATTTACCTTCTATGTCTTCCTCATCATCATGGTCTAACTTGCATAAAGAACATAATGTCTCAACAGTAATTCCGTAATAATCAACATTTTCACTACTGAATTCATAATATAGATCAGGATATTGTTCCAATGCTTTATTGCGGAAAATAGCACGGTCATGGGTCATATTATTCTGTTCTTCAGGTAAGACCTTCTTGGGTTGAGGTGTGGGAGGTATACTTGTCTGAGTTTTCAGATCAGAAGAATCCAAGACTTGAAATGTAGATGATATACTCATCTTGGCCGTGCCAACTTCACTGATTTCTTTTTCATGGAGTGAGTTTTGGCACTTAACATAGTAAGAACCATTTCTGCATTGACCAACTATACCAAATACATACCCTTTACTATGCTCTTTCTCACATCCTGGACATACTCCTGAGTCATTGAATTCGTAACAATCGTTAAATTCGTCACTATGTCGCAAAGATAGGTAAAGGTACTCCTTCAATACTGTATTGATATAGGAAGCGCAGGAATCATACGGGATGACTAGTGTGATCTTCTTGGGTTGAGTGATTGGTGGCAAACTTATCTTGGCTTCTGATAGTTTCTCAGAGCCGAAAGAGTCGGAGGTCTCAGATTTGGTAAGTATATTTACTTGAGGTGTGAGTGATATATTTATTTTGGTTACTTCTGAATTTTTCCGATCGTTTCCAGTGGAAACGGTTTTTGTAACTACTTGATTTATAATATTCTGAATTTGAGCATTAGTAAGGCTGGAGATTTCTCTTGCACTATATGAGACTTGCTTAATTAGATCAACCCCAACCCCTTTTTCACCAAATAGCTTAAGAATTTTTTTCGCTCTACACGTTTTAATCCGCAAGGAAACAGGTGAAACGCCAGGTAGATGCCGTAGCATTTCTTTGTATATCCAGGATCTCACAGTTTTTTCTTTAGCCTTACTTTCATCCATAATAGCAAGAACTTTGCTCTCGATTTCAAGAGAATAATTATACCAACGTAAAATTTCTTTCTGACCTGTCTTGGTTGCTTTTTCAAACAAGCGAGCCAAGTTTGGTGCAAACTCTGGAATGAGGGTCTTTGAAATTTGGGTAACACAAGACTCGTTAATTTCGGCACTGTCATACCGGCTTGTGCCGATATCCTTCCCATCATTAAATACTCTAGAATCGCCACAGCATCGTAATTCTTGTATCAACCTTGTTCCACAGCTTTGTTCTTGTCAAGCTCAATAAGGTCATCAAAAGAATCAGAATTATACCTGTCATCAGGACCAATTTGTATCAGCTCAGAAGATTTTGACAAAACCTTTCTCTGATCGTTTCCACTGGAAACGGTTTTTGCCTCACGTGATGAATAAGTCGATACTAAAGGAACGGGTGGTATTGGCGGAATCGACATTGCCAAAGGGGTATTATGTGTCTCTTGATCTCGAAGCCTTTTCTCTCTGTTCCTTTCTCTTATCTCATTACTAACCTTTTCCTTATACTTCGAGCCCAGGAATTCATCGACCTCCTTATCTTCTGATGATATGGGCGAGGAGTTGGGTGGACGGGTATTGGAAGAAATATCGTTTTGTGACTGCTTCTGTTCCAATTTCGCGACCCTAGCCTTAAGCTCGGCATTTTCTTCTGCAGTATGTTCCAATTTCGCGACTCTGGCCTTAAGTTCGACATTTTCTTTGGTGATCTGTTCTAACCCCACGATTCTGGCCTCGATTTCTTCTTTATCTTGTTTTAACTTTGTATTCTCAGCCTTGATGTCAGCATTCTCCTTTCTAAGCTCAGCAATCGTGGCAATGAGTTGAGAATTTAATTCTTGCAACGAATCGATTTTTGATGAATCTTTAGATTCGCCCCTTTGGGCCTGAGTGTCTGACATTGTTTATACAATATACGGATATGTTCAAAAGTTCGAGTTAGTAAAAATCGCGGAAAAATCTCGTTATCAGGAAATACTTTGGAGCCCGGTCCAGAAGAATTTTAATTTTTCCGTGTAAAGAATTCTTCACACCGATCACTTTTAGCAAGAAAAAAAAATTCGCATTGAAAGTGAAGGATTATCCAAAAATACTTTGAATGGATCGATCTCTCACATCAATTGATGTATATGCATACGAAAATCTTTATTTTGCCAGCTACGTAACCCTATTCTATAAGAGAAAAATTTAATCAACTGTAATCCTTATGACAGGGTGAAACCCGCGACAGAAAGTAATCAAATCACAAGATCACAAAAATTAAAAAAGGTCGATCTTTTACTATGACAACCAGCTTTTGGCCTCTAAGTAAAGATGTTCAACGTGAAATTTCACATATACTGATGGTTACTAGACGGTCTTATCAAGTAAATTTAGTCTGTAAATTAAACCAATTTTTTAAGTACAACTGCACTCTAGTTAACATTGCCTGTATTATTGTTTTCGTTACTCAAACATTTTATTAATCTAGATATGACCTATGCAAAATGCAATGTAATATGTTCAGGAGTCTATTTTGCTTGTCAGTAATTGTTAGGATCTCGCTTTTGCTGACGCTTTTTGGGTGGTGACGCTTCTAACAGATTTTCATTTGAGGGAGTATATTCCTGTGCCTTCCGCGAGATTTCCTGCAACTTAAGGTAATAATCCATTACACGGCTCTATAACGCCAAATATAAAGTTAGATCAACGAACATTCTATATAGTGATTACCAGGACTTGTACCTTAAAAAAATACACTTTTTCTACGATTTCATCTAGCACATATGCCTGGTCCTTGTTTTCCGGAATCGTGAAGTTTGTAAGGATGTCGACAATGTACAAACCTCCTTTAGAACGGTGCATTATGTAGATTGTTGTCTCGCGCTCTGAAATAAGAAGGCAAAGGTATGATGAATAATTGAATCAGTAATAAGTACAACACGAACATTACGTACGGTACACTAATACACCAAAACTTTGAAGGCATTCAAGTTGTTTTTCTGTCGCATTGCGTCGTAGGTGGTGCTGTCGCTGGTAAAATATTGACAATTGCATCACTACAAAGATAAAAAGATTCCGTGAACTTTACTGCATAAAGACTTCGTGAATATCTGGCAATTACAAACCCTTGAACAATTTCTCCGTATCTTCACGATATTTTTTAAGATCCACAACCATTGCGTTCCCTACAACCTCTAAGAATCCAATCTCTATCTGACTTGCATTCATGTAAATCTTTAGAATCCCGTCATGATTTGACCCAAGCATTACCCGAGGCTTTTGGCCTCTTGTCTGGTTTCGATGTTGTTTACGTAATGCGCTCTCTCTCCACTAGGCAAATATCATATTCGATTAATCAAGAGTTCGTTATATTGGGTATAAATACAATAAAGTAAAACTATACATACGTTTGGAACCTAATCTTGTCGTTCACATCCTCGAATGCCTTGGGAATTATAGGATTAACAAATGATTCTCTGTAAGCTATCTCCAATGTATTTGCATCGCGAAGCATGTTAAAAGATGAGGCGAACAAGAACATGCTAAAATAAAATACAGAAGTTAATTGACCATGTTGCATTATAAGATGTACGGTATACCTACAATCGCTGATAAATATCTTGTACCCATAATACGTCATAATGTTTTTTGAAATCAAACTCGCCCTCGAATGGTATTTCGAAAATAATTTTTGTTGATGGTGGTTGATCATCATCATCATCATCAAAAACCGATTTTGGCTTCACCTCAACGGAAAGCGCATACTTGTCAATTAGAGGCTTGATACTCTTTTCCCACCTGGGTCGACGCAATGTATTCTGCCTCTCTTCGGCCGATGGCTCCATCTAAAAGAACGTGCAAGATTATTACTGATTACGATCCAAAGCTGATGGCTAATGTAATACATACCTCTTCCCAGAAATTTCTCATTCTTTTTTTATCATCATCCGAAAAGAGTTTATTTATTGGATCTACGAGACTTTTTTCGGAGAGGTTGACAATACGATATTCAAAAAGACGATGGTCTACATCTTCCATCTTTGCGATGAGTTCTTGAACCTCGGTTGATGCATTCTCGTTCTCATCTTGATCATGTAAATCATCGTCATTCTCGCTATTAAGCTGAACTTGTGCCTGATGGGGAGGGGGAGTACGATCTCGAAGATTGGGAGGAGGGATGAGGGGATAGGCTTCATCGGCTGACCGTTTCTTTCCATCCGCATTTTTTCCATTCGTATTCTTTTGGGAATGATGTAGAGAATATGGCAATTGTTTAATAAGTACTTATAGAACAAAAAATAAGAGATAAACATCCACAGGACAGAGGCTAAAAACATCCGCCCAGATATAATTTACTTCAAAAATTTCATAATCTGATGTGTTCGAATCACTTTGTTGTAATTCTAATTCTTCTCGGCTTCCTTTTTTTGATGTAATTTCTTTAGGAGATCCAGCAATGAAAGTTCCGCCACTGGTAGTTCCGGTGGTTATATTTCCGATCGTGTTCCCGCTGATATCCATAACTGTTGATTTGTGGATGTAGACTTGCTTGCGCAAACGTTCTTTCTCCCAATTTTTCGCTTTTTTGCAATCAGGTCGAGGTTCCTTGTATGGAAGATTAGAAATCAGTAGTATTCTTCGATTAGTACGCCTCCGGTTCCCGATCCCACCAGAACATCAGAAAACCTAATAGGTCTCTGTGTCCCAATGGGTCTAGTGCCAGATCTTTTGTACATCAAACAACCTAGTAGGTCATCTGTGCCCCGACACTAGTTTTGTGGCTCAGCTAATAGCCTTGAATGACGGACGACCTAGTAAATCTCTGTCCGTCACGCCACCTATCTCTCAACAAAAAAGATTTTAACTTGCCTCTCTGTATCTATCAAGAAGCAATTGCGCCCTTTCAGATCTGTCTTTTTCCCCATATTTAACGATGGTCTGGAGGTCTTTAAGGTAGTTATCTATATTGCGTTCAAATGACTCCCCGGTACATTCTTTTAAAAAACTTATAATACCCCATTTTGCGGGGTTACGTTTGAAGTATTTATGGGTCATGATGAGAAGTACGACACGGGTTGAAAAAATTTACGCGAGATGTTCTAAGCCACAACCACCTGATAATTAACGATCACATGATATTTTTCGATTTTATTTTCATTTGCTATACGTTATTATCACTTGATTTTATCACATCACGTTTATTATTATGTGATCCAGTGCTGTCACCGGATGCAACAAGTAGATTCGCTCTAAAAAAAATCAGATACAAGCCATGATTGATATATTATTTTCCTACTTTAGCTCTTTTATTTTCAATTTCTGATTCCTCCGGTTTTTGTACCTCTTCCAATAACCAAGCAAAATGATCGAGGACCCTTTCCACTATAGCTTCCATTTCCTCGTTTTCATATACAATGACCAGCAGTTTCGATAGTTTAAATCTCGGCCTTTCTTGATCATCAAGCGAACACTCTAAAAATACCATTCTTTCGCATCTGTGACAATTCTGAACACCTTACCCACAAACACACCCTCTTCATCCATTTCACTAGTCTTACGCTTGCGATTCGTCAAAGCTGATTCAAGTTGGACAGCATTTTGAGCGATACCCTTGAAACAATCTTCGTCCTTGACTTCTGTCACGCCTGCAGTTCTTGTGGTTCGGAGTAAGTCTAGCGCAAAATCGACTGGATCACGCCCATTTGGCCCTGAGATGTTTTTTTCTGGTCAGAGCTCAAACTTACCTTTGAATAAATTTGCCCGGCAATTAGGTAGGGACATATGTATTGCGATTTCGATGTTTCATTTCCACTAATTAGAATGGTCTTGAGGCGTGCCTTCACTTCAGGCCTCTCCCAAAAGTGCGTACAAAATTCATCAAAGTATTGCGCATCCAATCGATTTCTCTGTACTCCACGTCTACCTGACATATATTCACACATCAACTAATTGATATGAATTATTAGCAAAACGTAAGCAAAAAATCTGGAAAAATTTCTTACAATGCCATACTTACATTATAATCCCGAACAAGATTCATAAATTTTTCTTTACATTAATGTCCATTAAAGCTCGTATTATGCCCTTGATTAATTCTGGTTGCGATGCTATCCCAAAATCTGATTCGATTCCTTCCAAAATTATGATATTCTTCATTTCTATCTCTACGCTCATCAATGAGGATACGTATTTGAGTATCATTCCATTCAACCATTTTTATTGCAGAGCAATGAGGCTTTGCCTCTACGACATTTATCCTGATAATGAATATAATGCGAGAGGGTGGAATTTTGTTGCTTTTATAAGCATATCTTAAGTATTTAACAGTACTTCAGCAGTACTTCGGCAGTACTTTAACCATACTTTAACCATATATCCGTGATTATGTTAAGATATATGTGCTTGGTACTAGCTCCGCTATTGTATAATTTATTGCTTTTCTAACCACACTTCAACATTGTTTCAACCATGTTTTAACAGTATAAATCTATGGATATTCATTTACTTTTTCCACGTAAATATAGTATAATTAATAGAACCCTAGCCACGGCAAAAAAAAAGTGACTGTCATGTGATGGTGATCATACCCGACCCTGACCGATCCTTACCAACCCGGCCAATCAGTATCGGTTACGTATATCATATCTGATTGGCTAAAAAGAACAATTGGATATTTCGCATTGTGAGAAAAGAAGAAAAAAACAAACAATTTAAAGGTCGTTTAGTTTTAGCTTCGAGACTATAGTTGACAAAATTACTATAAAGCTTTTTATTACAATATTACAACAATAAAATAAAGCTTTTTATTATAATATTAATCAATATGATGAAATAAAGCATTTTTATTACAATATTACTATATCAAAAAATTTATCAGTGATGTTTTTGATTATTATGGAGTTTTGACTGTGAATGGGCTACACTTTAAAGTTAATTGCGATTAGTGTAACCAGAAAGCAAGCTTTTCGTTTCCTGATCTCGATGTACTTTGTTGTGTATGAGCCGCTAATTTCTTTTCGCACTCCTCAACAGCTTTGACAACCGGCTTTAAAAGGATGTCAAAGCTCTTTATAAATTGATCATTTTCCTTCTCTCTTTCATACAACATCAACGCAGCATCGAAGGTTTTCCTGTAATGAGCCAACTTATCCTCTATCTCGTTCGTTTTGATGTTCCGTACTGCTAATACCGTAGTCTGCGAACTTGAACTTGACTCCTCTATAGTGATCGATCCATATCTATTCCAGGGATCATTTTCTTGATAAATTGCTGATATTTTATCCGCACCAAAAAAAATCAAAGAATAGTCGTGACGGCGCGTCGTTTCCATGAAAGTAGATAATAAATGTTCATTTTTTTTTGCAATTAAATGCTTGCAAATAAGGTAGGGGCTACGTATATACGCTGGACAAGAACATATCCAGTTGATTACATCAATATGGTATTTCTCGTCCATGCCGAGTTTGATACTTGTAGCTGCTGCTTTGTTCCAGTTCTTCTTGAAGGCCTGCCACCACGATGGAAAACTGCGATTTGTATAGTACTGAGTCAGCTTTAAGTCGAAATCTGGTACCAACTGTTCAGCAATGATCTCTGTAAGCCGATCAAGACGAGGACGATTATAATTATATTTATAATTATATTTAAGAACCCGTCAGTGACTTTCAGTGATCATTGTGATTCGAGCCAGGGGCATTGCCAGTGAATAGGCTGAACGAGCAAACAATTTCCAGTCTTTCTTATTGTACCAGTTTATCCATAGGTAACCCCACAAGCTCGAAAGGTTATGGCTACGACAAAATTGATATGTCTCTTGCACACAATGTCGATAGATTTGCGCAAAATTCCAGAAGGTATTTTTCTCTATTGGTATTAATGGATGTATGTTAGCATGCCGTTTGATTATGTTTATGATTTCCTTGGTCTTCTCTTCTGAGCACAAGCTTCCGCCGCCACAATTCGGAATTCACGATAATTCGATAAAGTCAAATTGTTGGTTTGCTTCCATTGCTTTTTCCTTTGTATAACCAGATACTCTTGATTTTTTATCTTTTAGGCGTCGATTGATTGCATGTTCCAAATGCCAATAGCACAGCTGCAAATTTGCTATTTCTGACCAAGCTTCGCCTATAGCCGATATTTCTCCTGCATCCTTGTCTAGCAAAATGAAGATTGGCAGTAGTCCCTCTTGTCGAAGGCTGGTAAAAAACTCACGCAGCACTCGTACATGTGTGTTAATTTTATTTTTGGGATCCTGATATGCCTCCGCTGTGCCATTACATGTCAAAAGATATAGATATGCTACTGGCATTCCGTATCCACCACAGTTAGCGTTTATAACAAAGAGCTCAAAACGCTCTTGGTTTGTTTTGAATGTAGAGTCCACGACGATTTCTTTTAAACTTGCGGTACTAATACGATTGAGCAGTGGTGTTGCGAACCCAAGAGCTCTCACGAAGTCATTCTCCAGGTAATAGAGAACTTTGAAGTCTTGTGTTTTTTCAAGGTATTTTTTAGCTGATAAGAGCTGATTTATAGGATCGAAAACGTATGTTTGCTTGCTAAGGATAGTTGCCCAGTAATATACTTGTTCTTTGATATGAATTTGCGCATCAATAAGTTTATACTGTTAAAGGCGTTTATATAATTCAGAATTCCGTAAGTGATATTTAATATTATCCTGGATCCATCGCTTTGCTACTAGTGGAAACTCAATCCGTCTGTGTGATGGATGTTCATGTGCCTGCAAGTGACTACCTTCAACAAGAACGTGACGTTGTTGGAGATCAATAGTAAGTATAGCATTTCCCATGCAAGCATATCGATTTATTTGAATACGGGCCTCGCTTCTTCGCTTGATTGGCAAATCCTCAGATTTTATTCGCTTTCTGTCCTCTCGTTGCGTATATCCAAGATACACTGTGGCGTAACCTGTGAACAACCTCTTCTTGGTGTTAAGATGAACTAGTCGCACCTCCCAGTAATAACCTGATCCAAACTCGAGTGGCAAAAGAAAAATATTGGCGAGTTGGTGGAAATTCTTCTTGATCATTTCTGGATCATGTACATTTTGCTCGAATTCCTGTCGAGTTAGAGAGATGCTTTCGATGAATTTAGAATCCAATTCGATCTCAAACGCTAAATTTGTTGGTTCATTGGAATTTTCAGCATCTTGAAACTATTTAGTGACGAGCTCTTGCACTTCATCCAAACTGTACAAAAGTCCATCACTATTGTTGTCATGCATATCATCACTTATATCTGAGGATTGCTCTTCAAGAAAGTCGATGTCTTCAGATACCAGCTCAGTGTTTGTGAGACTAGTACTGATGCTCGGTATTGGCACATTCAAATCGATCTCAAGATTTTTTTTCTTCCTAGAAATCAAATTCGTTTCTTGTCACTTATCCTTGCATCTATTATAGCATTGATTGCAAGTTAAGTATTCATATTGTGGATCGTTACCACGTGGATGACAGAAATCTATTTTCGTTTTTGTATTAAAGCAGCAACTGCACGTCTTTTGAATTCCTAAGAAAGTGTTTATTTGCTTTATTAACATTCTACATTTTACAAACTAATATGAATAATCTCTTAATAGTCACGCAATTACTACCTTCACTCGAACTCATTTTATGATCGTATTGCAAATAAATCAAGGACAAGTGTATTTGTACAGAGGCCTCCCAGAATATTGTGGACACTTTTTAAAATACAATAACACAAAAACTAATAAAAAAGCAAGATTTAT